CTTGAATATGCCAGGAGAGAACTCGGAGAAGATCCTGATACAAGGGTACAAGTTTTGGCAGAATTTCGTGACATGATTTATGGTAAGGTTTTGTTGAAAATCTCTCTAAAGTTTTCTTTAAACTTCATGAGTAAGTATCTTAAATACTGTAACATATACTAACGAAAAAGGAAAACCTGATTTGCGAGAAAAGAGGGACGCACCATGGTAAATTGGGATAATCCCTTTTTTTCTCACAAATCAAATATTTCCAAATGTTGCCGTACCTAAGATTTACTTGTTTTATTATTTACCAAATACTCTATTTTGTTAAGATGGTTTATGTTTCAAACAAGAAATGCTAATATTTTAAAAACAAATTTTACCAAGCTGTTAATACTTCTAACTATTTTTTCAAAAACAATAAAATTTGTTAGTAATGCCCAATAATTATTTTGCCACACTAAAGGGCTTTTCTAGTTGGAAGAATAACTCCATCAATTACGTAAGAGTATTATACAAATATTGTACATGTAGGGAAATGTCGGAAGTAATCAATATTCCAATGTATAAAAAATATACCTATAAATAAATATGAGTTTGTAATGAGGAACTCGTTATATGTTACAAGGTCCTGTGATGGACATTTTGCTATATATCTTATTACTATTTTTGTAGTATGTTTATATGTAGGGTGATGCCACTTATTATTTTCGCCTCTCCTCCCCTTTTCTTCGTTTTAATAAAATGAAAATTTATTGTTCTTTTTATAATGTACCGGCTAAATGGTTTATTTACCATGTAAATAACTAATATATATTATGAAAAATTAAGGAATAATTCTGTAAAAGTTAGCTTTAAATGAATATCTATTTTATAACATACAGGGAATAAAAGCATTGATGTGTGTAAAAAAGTAAGGGAAAGTTCATACGAACTTTTCTTTTGTGCTTCCTAACTGCTACAAAATTTCCATCTCCAGTTCGTTGATAAGCTAGTAAGTACACGTATCTCGAAAAGCATAAACGTTACAACTTTTTAAATAGAATTTTCTTGAAAGCCATTAGTTTTACGAAGAAACGTAACATAATGCTTTTATCAGCTGTTTCTTGAGCTGCAAACCTGATAACCACAATTTTTCGATAAACATTTAGGAGATTTTTGCGAAATCCCACTTTAAAGGCACTTGTACCGACGAAGGATTATATTCAGAATCACAAAAGGACGATTTATAGAAAACTCCAGCCTTCTAGGACCTTTCCTTTTTTTATCTTTATTCCCTGAACTATTATCTAAAACCCTCTTGTTCGTATTGACTATTGTTGTAAGAGACTTTTAAACACTATGTATCTTTTTCAGAAAGGGGAGAATGTATGCCACATAGAACTGACGATGCCTTCCTTTTAAGATTTTTGAGGGCAAGATATTTCGTTTTAGAAAGAGCCCATAGATTGGTACGTTTTAATATTGCCTAATTGCATTGAGCACGTATTACTTTAATGTGCTAATAAACTATTGCGAACGAACTTAAAATTCTCATGATTTCTAGAATTTATTACAGCCGTTTATTAGCTTTTACACTTTTTAAAGGAAATTTAAAGTTATGACAGTAGTTTTCTTTTAACTACGTAACTGGTAAGTGGTAAGAAAGTGAAAATAAAATAACAGGTTACTGCTTCATTTTCGAAAATTACTGTTCACTTTGTAGTTTTGTTATTGAAAGTTTATTCATTAAAAAGTTACTAGTTTAAATTTTATCCATAATGTATTCTTTTGTTTTTAGTTTGTAAATTATTATAATTTTAAAGAAAATAATCCTGAAATATTCGAAGGCGTCAATTTAATGAAACTGCAGGAATTGGGAACTACAAATATTATAACCGTCCCACCGTACAGGGAACAGACTGGTAGAAGAATCCTGCTTTACAGAATGGGTAAGAAATAATGTCGTACCAACAGCAAAGGTGATTGTAAAATATATTTTTCAAAACAAATGACGCTTTTAAAACCTATAAACATAAAAACCTCGCTACTAATACATACAATGGTTTCGAAATCAACAAACAAATTAGAAAAAGCCATTTTGATATTTTAAAGACGTAGAAAATTGCAAAAGAGAAAACACCGTCTATTACGCGAACCTAGAAGAACTAAGTTACGAATAATCCTGTGCTAAATTTTGTTCTATAAAAATGTGATAATTATACAATGCCTAGTATGTACATTTTTGATAATATTTATAAAACATTCTTAGTCTTTCACACTTTTTAGGGTTCCGTGCGTTCGAATGAAAAACGGAACCCTTATAGGATCACTTGTGTGTCTGTCTGTCCGTGTGTCACAATCAATTTGCTCAGAATCTACCGGATCGACTAAGTTGAAATTTAGTACACATATGAACTTCTGTGACCCAAATACGGACGCATAACGTAAATAAATTAATTTTTAACATTGGGGGTCATTTTTGGGGTTACAATAGGAAATTTAAAAAAACAATTTGCAAACTGCAGCGTGTGACGTATCAAATGAAAGAGCTTGTTGTAAGGGTCACAAATATATATTTTTATAATTTTAAAATAACTAGTTTTAAGGTTATTTAATAATAATAGATGAAAATTGACCTTTCCCCCTTTATCTTCGAAACTACTGCACCTAAAATTTTGAAAAAATTCAGAAAATAGTAAGCTTGCAGTTTGAATGTATGGGAAGACATGTTTTTTCAACTACAATGTTAAGTTAGTTCTCGGGTTAGGGTTCTGCACGTCCAATTGAAACACGGAACCCTATTAAGCGGAATGTAAAAACTGGGACATTTTAGTGTTAATAACTTCTAAACAAGGTAATGTGCAAAAATTTTACAGCAGTGGTGTGGTACACCTATTTAATACAAACGCCTTAACATGCTATTTTATTCACTGTATGGTTATTACGTTCTTGTTACGCTTTTGTATACAACCAAAGCTCCAGTTCTTATATTATTATCATTATGTGGACTGTGTTTGTTAATATTATATTTATAAATTTTGGCATGAAACAAAGTTAATACAAACAGTAAAATATACATATCTGATGTACATTCAAAATTATTCAACAAACTATAATAGCTAACAGGGGTAACCCATTTTAAATTATAGATATAGAAATATGGGGACCGTATACGGACCAGGGGAGTGAAGTCTGGATTTTATTGTACTGATCTTTAGCAAGAAAATAACATGTAATTGGTAAATCATTGCCTGCTTTACTACCCTAACTCACTTTTCTGAATCTCAATTCGAGTTAAATTCTCATAGAAATTATTTTCACCATTTAAGTACCTTACAATTTTTAATCGTTAAAATTTTGATGTGGGTAGTAATATTTTACTACTTTTTACAGTATTAGGATGCTAGATAGGTATATATACGCAACAATAATAATTCATAGTTTCTCAGTTGTAAGAAGGATCAATGAGATCAAGCTACTAGTAAACATCCGCTTATAAATTATTCCATGTAATACATCGCATTTATTGATTATTATTTAAAAAAATTGCCTCCTATTGTTTTCGCAGAATATTATCTTCTTTGTAAAATAAAAATAGCAGTAACCGTATTATTATAACCGTTTCACGGATTATGGGTTTTCTTTCATTTGAAAGATCGTGTAAGTGAGCTTAAAAATATAACTGTCTTTCTGGAATTTAGTCCAAGACAATATTGTTGTTATGTACCTAATGACATTAGCAATTCAC